AGAAATCTAACTTGTTATTTCATAGAGATTGCAATTTTGTAGGGAAGATAGACCTAAAATATATAATTATACATTGTGATACGTGTTATGAGGGAATAACCATTTTAATCATCAACTCAGAGTTCAGGGTTGACATTAGTTTCTTCACATAAGCGGCAAAATATTTACAAAGTAGACCAATTTTCTATCATCTCAGTGTGATACCAAAGTATCAAACACAATAGCTAATAAAGCAGAAATTGCATCCAATGTTTCAAGGACTGTAATTTATATCTAATATAAATGTTTTGTTTGGCTTCTAGAGCATTTCCTCAGGGTTTTCCATGAGTCATTCTGAATATACAATACCAAGAAACCATCATTAACTGGAAGACCTGAAATATAACTAATGTAATAATGCTGAAAAAAAAAATCCCTTACAAGAGGCTGGTTAGAACCCCCATATAGATCAAAGGACAAGATTCAAAAGGTCATTCATGGTGTCTTCAGCCAAACCTACAAAAATCATAAGATTATAAGAATAAAAATTTCCAACAGAAACATTGTGGACAGAGATGCCAAAACATGAAATGATTTAATATTTATAAAGGTTTTGAGAAATTTTAATGTTTAAAGTTTACAATGCAAATGATTTCAGGTTAGTTATCTAATAATGAGAGCTTTTGAATGTGACTAATATTTGCTGAGTTTGAATATGTGGAATAATGTTACTGAAAATACTATCAGGAATACATTGCTAGTACCACTAAATATATTTAACTGGCTTTATCCTTCATTGGACACATATTGTAAATATACTGAAATAATTAGTGTTATAGCAGGAGAACAACAAATTATTCTATATGTTATGAACATTGCCTTGAAAAAAAATTTGATTCTACAAACAATAATCCTTTTCTGAAATTCTTTGTTATTGTTGAACATATGAGTAACATTGAAACTCCTTAGTTTTCTCAGACTAGACTGATAAATTAGTGTTTATATAAAGAATCATCTGTCAGAAACAACTTGGATAGAGTCTTGCTTTCTTTGAGTTATATACCAGTACCCTATATAAATAGATGAATATATGTATGTGTATACATATGTGTATATATATGTGCATATACCTGATACCACATTGCCTACAATCAAATTTTGAAAATGTCATAGGCTTTATTTGTCTTCACAAAGAATGACATATAAAATGAATAAATTTACCAGCTAAGAGTAAGAGAAAAGTCTGCTAAAAGCTTCAACAGTGGTAATGCAACAGTTAATATGATTTTGTCCTATCCCTAAAGACAACCTTTAAAAGGTTTACTAACACATAATTACTGGAAATTTACCCTCTACCTACCATGTCATGTGGGAGAGGAAGGCATTGCTTGATTTATGCTCTATTTTGTACATCTGTTTGCAAATTAACATTTTGTTTACTGTATTGAACTAGAAAAAACAGATGATTTGGCTAGCACAAGTTCTCTGTGTAAGAAATAGCCTAATCAAGTACTCCCTGCCCCTCAACAAAAAAACAACAACATGGCAGTGTAGGCCGAGTTAACAGCTGACTACCATTTCAAATCAGGAAATATTTTATTGATATTTGGAAATTTAAAATGAATGACTATTACTCTGATCAAATGACATAGTTAGGGTGAATTGTAATCAGTGTTTTTATGGAATCTGTTTTCATCTAGTACAACCTGTTTTATTAGAGGCTTTTCTTTAATACAGTGGTGTCAACTTCAATGGTCAAGGCTTGTCTTTACTTGTTAAATAAAGCACTTCCAACATTTTTAGATATATGATCTACCACTTTCAGTGCCCCTTCAATAAACAGTTTACATACATGGAGTTTCCTGAGATCCCACAACTAATTTGAAAAAAAATAAATAATATTTGGTTAAACTATACCCCAAATTTTCAAATAGTGGTCATAAAACTCAAATTCCTACTGGGACCAGAGTGATAACATGAATTCATTAAAGAGGGCCAGGTGTAAGGTCATGAGAAATTGTGGGAATTGTAGGAGGCAGCAGAGTGCATGTCTATTGGTAGACATTGCTTCTCTACTTCTTCTAGTTGTGCAGAGTCAATAAGTATGTGGAAATAGTACTGTCAGCTTTTACATTTTTGAAAAGCTTGAAATTCAGATTTTCTATAAAGTTTACATAGTTTTAAACCTCTGGTAATATAATCAAATATATATTTGGCAGGCTTGGTTTGGCATTTTATAGTTTCTGATTAAAAAAAATAAAAGAAAGATAGGAGAGTATAGAAAGATCTACTGGCCTAGAGATCAAGGGAGCCACAAATCATATCTTTTCTACTCTCTAAGTGCATATGTAATGTCTTTTGACCTTATTATATCCCTAGGAGGATAAAACAGGGGAGACTGTTGGAACAGTCTTCAAAAAGTTGTTCCTTAATACTCAGTAGATGAAACAAGATCACACATTTACAAATTGTAGCTATGAATCAGGGATCAGTATACATTTGACTTTATCTTACTCTGAGACATTCGCCAAATAATTGAACATCTTAGGGCTAATTTCCTCGTCTGTTAAATGGTCATGGTAGTGGGAGGTCAACAACAATTCAGACACCCCCGATATATCACATGGGAATAGAAAAGCTGCACTGATTGAACATATAGAAAGGAATGTGTCCACTTTGTCTTTCCATACATTACCCACCAGCACTGCTCCTGAAATTCAAAGGTTGACTGTATCTTTAAAATTATCTATTGAAGGTCTTTGTCCTGTTTGAAGAATTAAAGAAAGGAACACTCTATTTAGTTACCCTAACATCAGATGTTGGACTTACTATGTTAAATTTGACAGTGGATTTTCAATTTATTCTGAAAAAAGACCAAGCCAATATTTCTGAGATTTTAAGTGGATTTCTTATTTTGTGGTATTTTATCCTTTCTTGTCAAATATTTGTTTTTCTTTGTATTATTAAATGTAGTTCTGTGGTCTAGATTTCGGTTTCAAAAGTGATAGTTACATATTTCTGAGTCTTTTACAAGACTGACTTCAATCAAAGATGGCTACATCCCTGCTATTAACTGTGTAGAGCTTTGCAACAAAATTTGGAAGAATCAAAGTCTGAAAATTTATCTATCAGTGTTACAGAGTAAAAGTGACCTTGATTAATTCAAAATACAGGCTGCTCTTAATTATTAACAAGAATGTATCAGAAGTCAGTAATTTCATAATCTAAATGTAAATTATCAGTGAAGCCCATGGTATAGTATAGTTAAATTATTTTTATTTTTGGGGGCTTATATAATAATATACACATGATGATAGCCAAAATTTATTCTTTTGAATTTATAAAGTTTTGCACATAAGAAAAAGAGGAAATCTTTGACAATGTGGAGAAAGGCTCTCAAATATACCATTGCATTGCCATTAGATTAAGGAAGCATGCATTATTATTGATTTGATTTTTATGAGTATATCATATTTAAGAAGATTGTCACTGCAAAAATGATTGAATGACCAAACTGTAAAGCCAAATCAAATATTTTTTTAACAGTGAAATGACAGATATAAAAGTAGATTAAGAAAGGCTCACCTTCTGTTTCACTTCTTTTCCCCAGTACTAGATAAAGGTTTGCATTTCTTATTTATTGAGACACTTTTATACAAACTTTTGAAGCACAGAAGCCATTTATTTTTTAAAAAATAATCATGTAATTTAAAAAAAAAAAAAAACCAACAAAAAGCCTGAAAGGAGACACTTAACAAAAAGGTCATTTGAATAAAGGGAGTGATGAACCAACTACAATTATTTGTTGTGGTCATCATAGGAGATTCCTGTTTCTTTGCTACTAAGAAATGCATTAATATCCAAAAGAGAAAGACTGTAGTCCTTATAGATTTTTTTAGCATGCTAGTTTAGATTTTTTTGTTCTTTACTAAATGATTGGGGAACACTGAAAAGTAATATACTACTGGTAAGCTTGGCTATTTTATGGGGCTAAGTTGTAGCTCAGTGGTAGAGTGCTCACCTAGCACATGTGAAGCACTGAGTTTGGTACTTAGCACCACATAAAAATAAATAAATAAAATAAAGGTATTGTGTCTACCTACAACTAAAAATAATTAAAAAAGAGATTGGTGGGCTGGGATTGTCGCTCAGTGGCAGAGCGCTTGCCTACCTTGCATGAGGCACTGGGTTTGATCCTCAGCATCACATAAAAGTAAACAAATAAAATAAAGGCATTCTATCCATCTACAACTATAAAAAAATTTAAAAAAGAAAGAAAATGGTTATTTTGTTAACTAAGCTAACTTCATGAGATTTTTATTGATCTCTTCTTTATGTGTTTAATTTTCTTTTGTGTGGATGTTTGTATGACTGTGTGTGTGTGTGTGTGAGTGTGTGTGTGTGTGTGTGTGTGGGTGTGAATGTGTAACCCTTGTGGGAAACAAGTAAGATAGTTCAGTATTTCTCCAGAAATAAGTACAGAGTGAGCTGTGTGATAACTTATTTTCATCATACTGTTAACTGAATTTAAAAAGGAGAAAAAAATACACATTTTTTTCTCTCCTCAAAAGTAGTGGAATACCCAATGGGATGGGAAGAAAGGTTCTCAAAAGTAAGGGAAAAGACATAATATTGCTGAATCGTTTTTTTGGAATTGTTACGACCCGAGGCCATTTTCTTCAACAGAAATCTGTAACTTTATTTCCTTGCCTTCATATAGAGAAAAGCCCTAAACCACATGACATTTCACATTATTTTTTACTCAATTGGGATTAAACCAGAATGTAATAACATTATCCATATATTTAAAAAACTATCTAATAGCAATTCAGGCTTTCCTACCTTCTTTGTGTTCTTCCCTGCTGGTGTTTCATTGTGTGTAACCTATCTAAGATTTCTGCAGAATTTAAGAAGATTTTTTTGTGAAATATAATAAAGCCTTAATTAATTGGAAGCTAACTAACCAGAACTCTCAATTAACCAGTTTTATTTATTTATTTTTTGCTACACTCTCCTTTTAGAAGGAAGAGGCAAATGACAAGAAAACAAGCTGTAAACAGGTATTTATGTATTTATTTTTTAAAAATCAACTTCCTGAGAATGTCCTGGAGCCTGTACAGATTAAACCCAACTTCCATAATCTTGTTCCCTAGACTATACTTCCTAAGATAGGAAAGGGGAGCCTCTTAGAATTTTCAGCAGCAAATGTTGAATCTTAGTCCTTTATTGATGATAAGAAAAATGAAATCCAAATAGCCTATTAGAATCAGTCCTTACATTCGAGCATTCTAAGTATTTGGGGTCTCCACTGTTTCACTATTTCCAGTTAGTCATCATTTATATCTATTAACTGGAAATGAATCCCAGGATCATACAGTGAGATGACGATTGGCAGTCACAGGGAGCAACTCCCTCCCTGGAAACTAAAACAGAAGCTAGAGAAAAAAGTTGATGGGGCCTAGGGGGTCACTGACATAAAAACTGTAACACTTATGCAAAATAATGGGAAAGTACTTCAGGTGTCCACCTACCCCTTGGCTGTGGAATGCTTAGGAAGGTACATTCACTTTTGCAGGGTAGCACAGGCTATTAAGTGTGCTACAGCATGGAAAAGAACTAGACTTTCCAAGTTCTAAGCAGTAGGGACAGTTATATTTTATAGACATGCTAGTAGTTCTATAATATCTGAAATTCTTTTTTTTTCCCAGTAATGTATTTTGAAAATAGTTGGAAGTCCAGGAAGCTTTACATTTGAAACCTCCTGAAATATCTATGGAATTTCAGTTAAATTACAAATAGAGATAGCATATTATTCCAAGCCTCATTCTTTCAGTTTGTTATTCAGAAAAGAATGGGTAGTGACTCAGAGACAAGGGAGGAGTGGAACCCTGATCCTGATGTATATTTTGTTATTGCCTGGCAATAGAGTCCCAATTCTCTTTCACATACCCCTTTCAGAGGAAATCACTGTTTGATAATGTTTTTTCCCCCTTCCTTTAAGACTTCCCTTGATGCAAGTTTTGTCCATATTTTTCTATAAGAAAAATGTAATAGGGCTTTGGGGGAGATGGGGACCACACTGTGATTTATTGTTTTAAGTTTTTAATATAGAAAATGAGAATTAAAATTAGTCTTAAATATCATGCATACTAAATAATTCCCAAGTGACCTAAAACAGTGAATGTACCTCCTTAAGTGCAAAACTTTGTATTCAACTATGACATCAAAGCTGTGGACACTAAAAACCAACAAAAAATTATTAATGATTGATTTTAACTGAATGAGATGGATTTAATTTCGAGTTTAAGTTTTGATATTGAAACTATTTCTGATTTTATATAAATGTAGTTGAAGTCAGGAATTGAAATTTGCTTTTATTTTTATTTTTTTCTAGTAAAATTACATGTAAATTAACTCTTAATTAAGTGTAACTGTATTTATAGATATATAGATTCATTTTTAGGTTATCAAAGCACACATTACATATGTACATATGAGTTTTATAAGATTTTGCACTTGCTGAAATATGAGAAAACCATGAATTGTTTTTGAAAATATATGTATTAAATCACTTAAACCATAGAGAACCAGGGGGCCCACAAACCCTGATGCCTATGGAGGCAAGGCTGGTGATATAAATGAAAGACTATAAGCAATAGGGAGTAGAAGTGAATATGGTGAACTAAAAATATGTATTTTTTTTTCTAAAAGTGGTGGTTACTACTCACCAAAGCTGATTGCTCCCATGTGGGAATGTTGATTTAGTGTTGTTAAGGTCTTACTTTTAAGAGAAGCTGTGAAGACAAACTTTTATATGAAATTCTCCAAACCTTACATATTGGTAAATAATTTAATTAAAAAAGTAACACTTTTCAGACAAAACAAAATGCATATGTGATCTAGATTCAGTCCATGGGATATCAATTTGTGATCTCTGCTCTAAATTGTAAATCCTTTAGTTACTGAAATAACAAAAAACAAAACAAAAAATCATAGTTTGCTATAAAATGTACCTGAAATGCTTGATGATAAAAAATCATGTAAAGTAAATAAATAGTAGGTGGGGTTCTGGTACTCAAAATGGTGGTCATGCACTTTGTAATTTTTTTAAATACATAGAAATAGCCAATGTAGTTTTCCCTTTAAAGTGGTTTGAAAATTAAAATTATGATTATTTTTGCTTTAATGTTTATCAATGAAATGCAATGTGAAACAAATCATTACTGCCATGACCAAAAGAGAATATTTAAGCACAGTTGTGTTACATAACATAATTAAGGTTTCTATTTAAAGCCTAATTTGTTTTGCTTCAGTAGGAAGAAAGGCATGTGTATACCATGTGTTGTTTTATTTTAAATTGGTTTGCCTTTAAGCAAAGTTTCAATTCCATCTTTAAAAATTCCTTTATTTTTACAAATGGTTAAAATAAAAAATAAAAGAAATGTAAGTAGTTAACACAACAAAACTTCATCTGAACTTTTGGTGGACATTGGCAAAGACAAAACAAAAGTTGGTCATTTGAGATTTTATTAAGAGGTAACTGTTTGACTGATCTGAGACTTTGCTTGTTTGTCTGTCCTGCCCTGGACCTTAGCACATAATCCCACTGTGCTACAATGCTTTTGACATCTGTATGCCCCTTTCATCACTGGCAACCTAAAAGTATATTTGTCTAAAAAGGAAACAATTAAATTCCAATCTCTCTAGAAAAAAAAAAAAAAAAAAACGAAAAGAAAAACACCCCACTGCTAAACCTGCTTTAAAGACTTCTATGATCTGCACCATAAATCCTCAGTTGGGATAGTAAGTTAACATTGTCATTTCTCATGAGAAACTCAAAAACTTTGAAAACTTAAAAAAAAAATCCAAAAGATAATAAAGCTCAATCTCAAATCCAAAATGAACTAGAAAAACCTCATTTGTTGAGGATTATTATAGTTGATGTTTTCATATAATGACACATGCGAAAAATGAGAAATTGAAAACTGTTAAACACATATGATAATGTATAAAACTGTTGATATTTATTTAAATTTGTGTAGATGGTGCTGCCCTTTCTAATAATTATTTGTGTGTGTGTGTGTGTATATATATATATATATTTAGTTGTAGATAGACAAAATACTTTAATTTTATTTTTATATGGTGTTGAGGATCAAACCCAGTGCCTCATTCATGCCAGGTGAATATTCTACCACTGAGTCACAGCCACAGCCCCTAATAATTAGTTTTGACCATAATTAATTTGTTCCATGAAAAGAATGAAATATGTTTAAATATACTAATTAATTAAACCTATTAACTAAAATTTGACCAGTTTAAACATATAAATAAGACAATTTAAGATAAAAACTGATGAACAGTTGTCCTTTCTTTTGCCAGATGTAATAATATTTAATATTCACCAAACATGATAGGAAGTGATGTTCTGTATTTTAGTTCATTAAATCATCCTAACAACCCTACAAAGTAGGTGTTGTTATTATAATCCTTGTTTTACAGATGATGATACCAAGTTGCAGAGAGGTTCAGTGACCCATCCAAGAACATCCATCCTCAAATATGAGAACTAGCATTTGAATGAAGGCAATGGGATTTCAAAGTGCAAAGGCTTTGGACCTATATATTATATAACCTGTGAACTGGTATAAAACTTATTATTAAAACACCTAATTTCTTATATACATACTAATATGTATATATACCCATACACATACATACACCTATACACAAATATATACATATTTCTGGCATATTTAAAATGATATTTCTATTCTGAAATCACTTTTTTAACATTTTGATAGTGTAAAAATTTGTGATTAATTATAAAATAGTTCAAATAGAAAGAGTAAAAAAATAATAAGATGCCTGTGGACAAATTTCCAAATTGAATTGACCTCCTACAGAACTTCAACATCCAAAACTAGACAAAAATTATGGTTCACACACTTTGTTCATATGATCTCTAGATTAATATAATTTACATGCATACACCTTATTTAATGTGACAATAAGCTCATAGAATCCCACATAAATTGCTTTTGAGTGTTTTACCCATTTTGGCCTGTTTGAGAACTGATTGTCGGGCTCATATTTAATAACTTTTATTGCTATTTTTGCTAATTGGCCCTCTATTTTTTCAGTTTAAACATATTTCTGGAAGCAACTATTTTGTTTACTGTATGGGTTCGTGAAGAAAAAACTCTGCCAGGATATTCTAGATTATCTTTACCCAGATCTTACATATACTATATGGAGATTTAATCCAACTTTTTCAATAGCACTAGTTAAAGCACATACAAAACAAGATATTCCAAAACCTTTAAGCAAGTTTCAAAGATATAGATTCAGAGCATTTTGAAGCAGCACTTCTTGGACATATTTCACTAAGTGATTGCCAAGGCTATTGAGGAATCAGTGCTCTTTGTGAAAAAAAAAATATTATGGTTCCTCAAAATTTATTAAAAGAAGAAAGGAGGAAGGACGAAATTGTGTATTGAGTTTACCACATACATTTGTAAAAATTACTATATGTATTTGAGATTTTGGTGACTCTTTCTTCACAAAACCAGTTTAAATCATTACATGTACTACTGTTTACTGAGGATCCACAGTTTTGTTGGACTGAATGGAGCCTTGGCAAACAACATTTGTCTTTTATCTACAAAACATCAAAATCATGAACAATTTTGTCTTACTACTGCTCCCAAGTAAACTTATGTGCTTTGACACAGATGGCATCTAGATAATAAGACTATGATATTACTACAGAAAATATTCCTTTGTGTTACTATTAAAAACCCAGTTTGAACCCTGAGCAAGTCATTTACATGATGTTTCCTTGGGATTACCTACATTCTTGTCCACTCTGACCTTGTAATTTTGCTCACAGTTGGAAATGTAATGCAGAGTGACTAAGATAATGTTGTTTACACAGACTTTAAGTGGAATGACATTATAGTCAAGCAAGTGTCACATCACCCAAAGTGAAGGAAGACTTAATTACCATAATCCTGTGAATACTAAAATTTCTTAGCCATGTGTAGCATAATAATGCAAT